TAAAATATAGAGATACCAGTAGCCGGCCAACAAAGTGTTAACTACGTTGGTCAACTATATAAGTACAGAAGAATGTTAATCTAACATAAAAAAATTACCTTTGTTTAAGTGTTAAGAACCATTCATCAACTATGGTGGTGGTGGGAAGGTGCCATCTTCGAAGGCCAGATCTTTGACAAGGATTCCCTGAGCGGACAGTTCGTCCGTCTTGTAGCTCGGCTCGCACACTCGAACCACGATCAAAACCTTATTCTTTTTCAGTTCATTGATATAATTGTGAATGTTATGATCGGACGGACGGTCAGTTATCAAAAATTTCATTCCTTTATACTCGATACGAGCCGGAGCAGGTCTGATGTCCTTCTGACGCATGTTGTTCATTTATATCAAACAGGAAAATGATAATATGAACCGAAAAACACTTCACACAAAAGAAAACTGTCTCTTTAACCAAAGTTACCAAGAACCCGACACAAAAACTTCGTAATATAACAATTTGTGAAACTTGAGCTCTTTTTTAATCTCAAATATATGATTATTTTCAATTTTGCGGAATAAACTTGATCTAAACGTCGATTAAAATATTTAAATTCACATTCGAAGGGACTCCGAAATCATTTAGTTTCTAAATTTTTTCATATATTTATACAGTTATATTTATATAGATATATATATTTGTATATGTAAATTATAAATAAAATCAGACTTTTAAAGTTTTATACAATTATCTTTTACTTAAATATTCGTTGTTGGTAACGCGATGTTTCTTTCTTTGATATGCGTGTTACAAATATATCCCTATATAAATATATGCACATATAAAACGTTATATGTAAATATATGTATAACGTAATGAAGGTGATGAACTGCCTGAAACAAAAAAAAAATAAAATTGTTCACTAACTAGAAATAAAATAGGGTTTTTAATTGTTATATTTATATTAATTATGTCAAATTCTAAAATCAATAGCAGAAATTAAATTTAAAGTAAACAGTTTAAAGTAGTACAGTCTATTTGCACCGTGACTAATGTCGAATTATCAGTTATCCTGCTCGTAAGCAAAGTAAGAAAAGATTCTTGATTAACCCTTTCGAATGTCGTCCATAAAAGACATTCTCTCGAGTACGAGTGTCGTTCATGGACGACATGTTATGTATCCGTCATTGTTTCAAGATTAATCACTACTTATTAAATTACCGGCATTCTAACTTTATTGTTTAAGTTATTATAGAAGCGTAATTTTTAAGTTTCAACGCATTTTCATTGATAATGATAGAAATTTGGTTAAAATATATCGTGCCTGGTCCACTCTGTTCTGTACAGCAGCGACATTCCTGCGGAAAACGCTCTCCGTAGCAAAAGGGTTGATAAAGTACAGAAAATATAAATGAAGTGCCAAAAACTAAAATTTTACTCTATACCGAAAAATATCACCATTTGCTTACAAGCCATGAACAATGATACACTTGTTGCGCCTTCAAATAGGATTGCTTTCGCCACTCCACTATTAATAAACTTTCTTCAAAATTGTTTTTTTATAAATTTATTACATTCTTTAAATGTCTACCTAAAAATTTGTCGTTTATGTCATTTTACTACTTAATTTTTCAAGATCTCAATTGTTTTTACATTACATCATGCTTTAACTATTGAAAACAAAACAAAATAGATGTCACAATTTTACCTTAATTAGACACGTTATTTAATTCTGTTTCTCGCAATCAAAATTTGTTGAATCTTATTTACGTGAATACTCATATGGATCGGATGAATTCCACAAACATGTTTTTGTAAAAAAAAAGATTTTTGTTAAATCGTGAATCTAAAAATCGTATTTGAAAAAAATCATCTCGAATGAAATAAAATATTTTAGATTTTTCAAAACAAACAAAAATCACCAACGTGTTCTACGTTTTTTTGTTTTGAAAATTATTAAAATAAATTTTTTTAATAAAATCAATAAAGTTTTTAGAAAAGATAGAACTCTAAAGGATTTACCTCACACTTCGTCGATTACTAACTCCGGCCACACAGTGTGCAGAGCCGAAACAGGAATAAAGCCTCTATTTGTGCTGGGCTTGGCAGTATTCCGCGCTGTCCAACTGGAACTCCATGTATCGCAGGGCAACGGGCGAAGGAACCTGCAATTGAGACATTCAAATGTCAACTATCATGTTATTTTATAAAATAACAGATTTACTGCAGGCGAAATTTTATAAATTTTCAGGATTAATCCAAACGAATTTTCGTGATATTCACAGGAAGGACCGAATAAATATTTGTTATATTAAAAACGTACACAATAATATTCAACACAAACTTTTTGAACTCTAAACAAAATTTATGGCAGACAACAAATAATTCACTCTAACCATCTATAATAAAAATTCGCTGATTAAAACCTATATTTAAAAATAAATATTTCTATAAAAGAGTGCGCTAGATATTACGTACTACTACAAACATTTAAGAAATTCCTTTAAATTTTATGAGCGTCAAACTTAGAATCACTTAAAACGCAAAATGAATGATTATTATATTTAGCTATGCAATAATTTCGATAACTCACTATGCTTAAAAGTATTATTATTAAGTATTGTAACACATATATACTGAAAAGAATTTTACTTTGTTTCATTTATCAATGTATCACAATTTAATTGTTTATTTGTTCTCGAATCGTTACGTCAGCGAAAAATAGTTTATTTAATACATTTAAATTTATAGTATAAAATAAAGTTTGCATTATTAGTATGAGTATGTGCGATGACGAAAATGTTGAAAGAAATTGAGCCTTTTACAAATACAATACACGTTGCAACTTTCACTAACACACTTTGCGAACTTCCATAGAATTTTAACACATCAATTTTCCCAGTTTGTGTATCTGAGTACAGATCATATCACAGGTTAAATCAGTTTATGCAGGTACAATTTGAAGTAACTATGATACCACTTGAAATTTTTCGAAAAATAAAAAACAGTATGTATTATGTGAATATTTTCATATTGTCACTTTTGATTAATTAGAAATTATTATTCATGAAAACCATCAAATGTGAAATCTAAACAAGCCATACTATATACGTCAATGAATCGAATTATACACAAATGTATTAAATTATACTAATCCACTAATTTTATGTATTTTATTCATTGTTAAACTTTTATCATAACTTACTAAATCCAGTCAAAATAAAACACACTGACACTTTATGGTGGACGATGTTTTTGATGCATGAAAATCAAGTCCAGGATGTGAATGGTGCGTTTTTTCGTGAAAATTATTTCGAAAACCACTTTTGAAACAAGAATTTTGGTGTCTAATCAACACCAAAATTTCAAAATACTAATAGAAATTGTCAACTATCTATTAAATATAAATAAACAAAATTTAATGGTGCACTAGATACGCGTGTGTTCAGTGCTGATCACAAAATGCTATTGATAGAGAAGTTTGCTTTCGCATTATCATTTTGCTCAATGGTCATACTCGCGAATATTTATAACCCGTAGGAAAAAGATGTACGTAGTAGAGGTTTGATTTTTTGGCACGGGATAAGACGGGATAACCGAAAGACAAGATTCAGAAGCGAATTTATAAAATGGTGATGCTTATTAAATCTCATTTTAATCAAATATAAATTCAAAAATATTATAATTTAGACAAGCAACACGGGAATGAATCAATTCCCGTCAAATATACTGCAAATATTAGGTTGTCAAATATCTCCCTTCCGCCTTTTTGTATTATAAACCAAGAGCAAAAAAGCGGAAGGGAGATATTTGACAACCTATTATACTGCAAATCAAGCACAAATTGATTTTTGATTTGCAGTATATGCCATATAATTGATAAATGTTAAAGTAAAAAAGAATACAAATAGAGAACGATATACTAAAAAATATACATGTCACAAATTAAATTTTTGAAAAATCACAAAAATCGCAAAATAGTAACTAATGATGCCAAAAACAAATACTTTGAATATAAAAAAATAAACGAAAATTAATGTATGTGTGCATTTACCTCGAGCAGCCAAAAAATCTTTATGTAAACCGAGTGTTTACTTAACTCGCATGTGATGGCTATTACGCGAACTCATGACAACAAGATTTAGACAAAATGATTTAAATAGAAGACAAATGATTTTCACAGAGTTATCTAATAAATTTTGAGACTGCTAAAACTAAATCTTCCATTCAATACCAATAACTAAACTTCAGTGAGTAATAATTTGTAAATAATATTGAAAATAAAATACTAATTTCACCTAACAAGTAAGTAGCAAGTATATAAATTGAAAAGGGATTAGCAAATCAATCATTTTAACATTTCAAATATCATTACAGTATTAGTATTACATTCATGACGATTTAATTCGTAACAATTAGCCTTAAGCGAATTATTGTTATGCTTTAGCAAAATGAAGAATGCCCATAGACGTGCAATGAGCTGAACTTTCAACATTTATAAGCTTTCGCACGCACAATCATATGAATGGTGGTTGAAAAAATCTAAATTATAATAAATTTGACTTTGAATTTTTACTAATAATATATTTGACTTTGAAAATAAAAGATACAATATATAAGAGTACTGTTGGCCAAAATTTATATCAAACGCCGGATCAGCCTGATCGTCAAAAAATGACAAACAATAAACGCACATTTATAAATTAAACTCCATGTGTCAATTTGTATGGTCTTCTATTCTGATCATATGATAAGGCAAAAATAATAAATCGAATTAAGTTTGTAAATAATTTACAAATTTGGCACAAATTCCCCGAATTAGCGAATTATT